TCCCTTAATAATGCTTTTCCTCTCCTCTCTCACCTCCTCAGCTCAAAGATCATACTCTGTTTAAGGCATCTCGGAACTGAACATTTGAACTGGAAAGAATCTTAGACATCAATATTTTAACAGTTCTTATTTTATAGATTTTTTTGTGTGCCATGTCATTTCCTGCAAATGAAAGTTACCATCCCTTTATTCCTCATCTAGCCTTGATTTATGCCATCTCACCTTCAGCTTTGGTTATTTTTGTTTTGTTTTTGTTTTTTGGCCACACTGCATGGTTTGTGGGATCTTAGTTCCCCTGACCAGGGATTGAACTTGGGCCCAAGGCAGTGAAAGCGCAGAGTCCTAAGCAAGTCCCTGGTTTCTTTTCTCTTCTTTTAAATTTTTAAAAAGATGTCATTGAAGTTGATTTACAAAGTTGTGTTAATTTCTGCTGTACAGCAAAGTGATTCAGTAGTACACATATATAGTCTTTCTCATATTCCTTTCCATTATGGTTTACCACAGGATATTGAATATAGTTCCCTGTGCTATACAGTAGGGCCTTGTTGTTTTTATAGAGTTAAAACAGAGATCCAAGAGTGGTTAGGCTAGATGCAGATCACAGAGCTAGTGTACGGCATAGCCAGGTGTAGAATGCAGGTCTCTGGGCTCTCATCTGTTGACGCTTAAAAGATGCCCAAAGCAGGGCTTCCCTGGTGGCGCAGTGGTTGAGAGTCCACCTGCCGATGCAGGGGACACGGGTTCGTGCCCTGGTCCGGGAAGATCCACACGCCGCGGAGCGGCTGGGCCCGTGAGCCATGGCCGCTGAGCCTGCGTGTCCGGAGCCTGTTGCTCCGCAACGGGAGAGGCCACAACAGTGAGAGGCCCGCGTACCGCAAAAAAAAAAAAAAAAAAAGATGCCCAAAGCAGAAGACAGAGGTGGCTCAGTGGGGCAGTGCCTTGGTGGGGTCAGTTCTGGCCAAGGTCTGATGGGCAGCATTGCAGATCAGGAGTTCCATCTTGTCTGTGCACAAAGTAAAACCTCTCAGGGACTCTGATCAACACTAACCAAACTCACCAAAGCTCAATTGATAAAAATGCCAGTGTATTTATCCAAAGGAGAACCAAGGAGAAATACTCCTGCCAGGAAAAGGGGTGAGGGGGGCGGGGAATGCAGGACTTTCTCTCCCCTGTGTCCATGGCCGTGGTATGCAGGGTGGTGGGAGCCAAACGGAGTTGGGTTTGAAACACTCTCTACAGCAGGCCAGCTGAGAGATTTCAGGCAAGGCACTTGTCTCTCCAAGTCTCAGCTCCTCTCTCAGTGACATGTGGATATCAGTAGTAGTCACAACCTGTGGTTAGGATGAGCACTGTAGGAGATCATGTGGACAGCACTCGGTCCCAAGCCCGGCTCATGGATCGTGCTCATTCAAGGGCCACTGTAAGAGAGCGGGAGCAAGGGATGCCTAACCATCACTGTACCGAGTGTTACGGAGTTGCCCCATTTCCACTAAAGAGAGCTGATGGTAAGGCAAACTCAGCACACTCTTCCCCAACAGAGCAGACACGCACCGCCAAGTCCTAAAACCATGGATCTCTTTTTACTAGATGCTGTGTCACTGCCCCGGCCCCCATCAAGTCTTCCTAAAGTTTGCAAAACACCTGGAAGTTGGCCAGAGTTTGGCACAGTGTCTGTCTGTTTTGCTTTACCAGGAATTGGATACTTTTAGGGGGGTATGCACCCTCCCATTCTCTCCACAGTCCCCACCACTCCCTATTGTCTTATACCAGGACATGTTTTCTTACTTAAAATTACCTGCTTGGGAATTCCCTGGCGGTCCAGTGGTTAGGACTCCACACTTCCACTGCAGGGGGCCACGGGTTCAATCCCTGGTTGGGGAACTAAGATCCCACAAGCCACACGACTCAGCCAAAAAAAAGAAAGTTACCTGCTTGGCCACAAAAGGCATGAGAGTTTGCAACCGCCACCACAACTTTAGACTATCAGGTGAAAGAATACATCCATGTAGGCAACAGTCATCTTTAGCATCAATCACATACCCATACATTCCCCAGGGTACATCTTGGTCACCTTGGTGAGAAGTAGGGATTTCCCAGATGCCTGCATCCGCAAACACATTTACCAACTATCTCTCAGGGTGAGGTGATTTTTTTCATAAAGTTAAGTTCATCCATTATGTATTTTCTTGCTCCTGACCCATGGCCCTATCATGCCCCTACCTTCCTCCTACCCCACAGTGCCAGAAGAAACATGGCGAAATGTCATCGTAGATTTTACCACCATACCACTGGGTCCTGATTCCATGTTGGGCACCGTGGTAGGCGC